ATTTGTTCTGTTTTCCATAGACATTATTCCCTCCCGTCACGTTGTCACCCTCTTTTATATACCAGACTACCCTATATCTAGTAAATACTAGAACATTCGCCAAGGTACAGGATAGTTCTAGAAACGTGGCGTCACAGTAGTCATGTGACTCACTGACGCAACAATATATATATTTGCGTTTATGAGCGAAACCTTGTATAATTTTTCATTCCGTCAAGTTATTTTTATTTTGGTCAGAAATTCGACTAAACTACAAGATTTATTTTTATCGATATAACTTTATCGTACTTTATTCGTTTATTAAAAAAAATAAATTGTTTTTGAATGACTCAGTATTTATTTTTTATGTTACATTTCCAGTATTAAACGCGCTTGTTTTACTGTTTGTTATAGGAATACATAACCCTTCCCAAGTGGCTCAGTGTTAAATATGAAGGCTTATCATAACGCTAAAAACCGGATTTGATAGTATATCATTAAATAATTTTAATTTTGAGAGGGTCAATACTGCCGGAATGGTCGAAGACTAATATTATTAATTAGCCATAAAGTGGACGTTAATGTTTTTTACACTTTACAGAGTTGTCCAGAAGGGTCACGTGATTTTCGTGAAGAACAGTGTTCCAAGTTTAATTATGTTCCATTTGAAAGCAAATACTACAGTTGGGTTCCGTTCGTAAAAGGTACGAAAGTAGTTTTTTATGATAATATATATATTCCTAAGTCATATGTATTTCTGATGTTTATAATTCATCTATACTATTAATTAACAATATCATGTGTGAAAATAAAATCAGTTTGAACATATGAAATATATATATAAGATAATTTCAACTACAGCTATTCTTTATCTATAGAAAATGTTCATTATGTTGCAAGAGAAAGCTTATTGTAAGTTTTGAGTTTAATCATTCTTATCACATGGAAATTATACCGTAAATTCGATGAGAAGGTATAGAAATTCTCCAGTTATTATTTGGTTTTCATAAAGTAGTTTTTTATTTTATTTTAAATACTTAGAACTACCTTCATATCAGTGGTTATAAAATTTACATAATAGTTAGACAATGGGCGACATGAGAATGTACTTATAAGTAAGTTGTTTGTAAAGTATAAAATACGTAGCATGAAAATTTACTTTTGAGTAACTTGTTTATAAGGTATGAAATAGGTGGCATGAAAATTACTTATAAGTTATTTATATAATATGAAATAAGTGACATGAGAGTTTTCTTATAAGTAAGTTGTTTATAAAGAAATAAAAGGGAATCCTTAACAACCGCAGCACATGAAATTCTTTTAGGCGGGATTAGAGTGAATTGTTTTACTTTTTATTAGCCATATTTTTGTGCGCCAGCAATACCAGGATTGTTACCAGCTTACCCTCAAATGGAAATTATTTTAGGCAGGATTAGAGTAAATTAATCTATGAGTATGAGACCTTGATCAAATATATCAATCGAAAGGACTTGACCTCCTGAGTCCAAAACCGTGATCAGATCTCAAATCAGTCAAGAGATGACGAGCTACGAGCGAAAAGTTTATACTTGAAAAACTCAGAGCCATTCTGCGGCCGATGTGCCGCGGCTAAATATATTTAGCAGGGGAATTTATTAATAAGTAAATTCTTTATAAAATATAAAATAGGCGGCATGAGAATGTACTTAGATGTAAGTTGTTTATAAAGTATAAAATAAATGTTTAAAAATAATAATATAATCGCCATGACGACTTACTGATAAGTAAGTTGACTATAAAGTATGAAAGAGACGGCTTAAGAATTTACTTATGTTATAACTTGATTATAAAATATATAATAGACGGCATGATAATTTGGTTTGTATGGTATGATATAGCTAGCATGATAATGAACTTATACGTAGGATATTTATAAAATTTATTTACAAGTAATTCATTTCTAAAATATGAAATAGGTGGAGTGAAAAATTTACTTATAAGTTAGTTGTTTATAAAGTGCAAAGTATCTGGCTTGACAGTTTACTTATAAGTTAATTGTTTATAAAGTATGAAATAGATAGTTTGAGAATTTGTTTACAACCAGGTTGTTTATGATAATATAAAATTAGCGGCATAAGAAATTACTTTGAAATGTATTGTAAAGTATGGAACAGACGGCATGAGAATTAGCTTATAAGTAAGTTGTTTAAAAAGTATGATATAGGTGGCGTGATAATTTACTTATAAGTGAGTTGTTTATAAAGTATGAAATACTTGGGATGAGATCGTTTTTATGAGTAAGTTGTTTGTAAAGTATCAGATAGGTGTCATATGAATTGACTTGAAATTAGATTATTTATAAAGTATAAAAATAGGCGACTGGAAAATTTACTTTTAAGTAAGTAATTTATAAAGTCTAAAATATTTGGTATGAGAATTTACTTATGAGTAAGTTGTTTGTAAAGCATAAAATATTTGGCTTGAGAATTTATTTGTAAGTAAGTTTCTTATGAAGTATAGAATATTTGTTATGATAATTTACTTAAATTATTTATAAAATATGAAATGTTCAGTATGAAAATTTTCTTATGAGTAAGTTTTTTGTAAAGTATAAAATATTCGGGATCAGACTGTTCTTATATATAAGCTGTTTTTTAAATTAGACGGCATGAGAGTTTACTTATAAGTTAGTTGTTTATAGCGTATAAAATAGGTAGCATGAGAGTTTACGTATAGGTAAGTTGTTAATAACGTATAAAATAGGTAGCATGAGAGTTTACTTATAAGTTAGTTGTTTATAACGTATAAAATAGGTAGCATGAGAGTTTACTTATAGGTAAGTTGTTTATAACGTATAAAATAGGTAGCATGAGAGTTTACTTATAAGTTAGTTGTTTATAACGTATAAAATAGGTAGCATGAGAGTTTACTTATAAGTTAGTTGTTTATAACGTATAAAATAGGTAGCATGAGAGTTTACTT